AGATTTCAGTATTCTGAGGCTCTGAGCCCCATTTCTTTTCCTCACTGACGGCAAAAAAACTCAGACATTATACAATTTAAAATAAAAGGGATAGGGTTAGGCTTAGGGTAAGATATTGAGTAAGAACATGTTTTTATGAACCACACAGCTTCTGGTCTTCCAAGACCCGACCGGACAAAAAGACGTGTTGCAGGCACGAAACATACTACCAATAGAAATACATTACATTTAAAATCGTTCTGTGTGACACGAAAAAAATGTGAAAATCGTGTTAGTGAACACGAATCAATAGATTAAATTAAATTCATGACTATAACACGAAATGCCGTGAGACTAGGTTGAAATATTCGCCTCAATTCAACCTGGAACCTCTCCAATACAAAGTGTGTGTGTGTGTGTGTGTGTGTGAATGTGGAGAGACTGTGATGGATCGTTGGAGCTATGTGCAGCTGAAGGCATATATGCTCGAACGGGAGCTGCCTGGACGCTGCAATCATGTTGCGCGCACTATCCGTGCTGACTTTTTGTACAATGTCCCACTGTCTGGCTACCTGCATTAAGTCAAGTGATCGGCGCAGTTGTCGGCGAAATGTCGCTCCTCTGTTTTCATTGAAACAGCTCCTTATATCCGTTAGCGCAGCTAGCTAGCACCAGATGCTAACAACAACACGTAAGGTGTGCCTCGCTCGCGCGAGTCGCGCCCATAGACTGTGTGATATATATATATATATATATATATATATATATATATATATATATATATATATATATATATATATATAGATATATATAGATATATATATATATAGAGGTCGCGCCACACATACACACACCCTCCCGATGGCCAGTCCGGGCCTGCCGGTGAGCGTGGAAGTGTGGTCTGCCACAAGCGGGCGGCAGGAGCGGGGCTGTCAGCATCAGCTTGTAGATGGTATTTTAAACTCGATCCGCTCTGAAACTACACAGATCACCTTCATATTTGGTCAGCTAAATGTTAACACCTTCACCTTGCCACCCTGCAAAGCTTCTGAGCGTTCATTGAACAGTGTACATCCAACAACGCTTAGGGATTCACACACACATGCTAAAACTAATTAATAATAAAGAAGCCCTCATTGTACATTATACCTAGATGAAAGATACTGTATTTGCACAACACATACTTACTTGTCGTACTCTTGCAGCCAGAGACACTCGCCATGTCACACAAAGTCGTTGTTACTTGAGTGGACAGTCTTAAAAATGCCACAAATGTCATGCTTGATTAGAATCCTGGCAGGAAGTGTCAGGGTGGGGAAAATAGGACCCAAGTGCAGTTAAAAAATACAAAAAGGTTTGTTAACAAAAAGCAAGCTTTATTATAAAAAAGCCAAAGACATGAAAAACAAGAAACTAATTAACAAAAAAAAAAACGGGGAGCACGACAGACAGGAACAAACTTACAGACGGCAACAGGCAGGAGACATGGACCAGCATAGATGAGCATAGGCGAGGCAGGGAGCATGGACACAAAGAGACGACAGGTAGCATGGACATGAAACGACAACGAGCAGACATGGAGCACAGGGGAAGACAAGACTAAATACACAGAAGGGTAATCACAGGACAAGACACAGCTGGGCAGGGGAGGCAGAAACACAAGGGCAACAGGTGAACACAATCAGACAATCAGACACACCAGGGAAACTAACGACAGGAAGGCAAACACAGGAAGTAGGATCAGACAAGACACAAGGAGGAAAACATTTCAAAATAAAAAGGTGGAAAATGAAAACATAAATCCAAAACCATGACTGAACCCCCCCCTCAAGGGACAGATTCCAGACATCCCAACAAAACAAAAAAGTCCAAAACCTCTAGAAGGGTGGGTGGAGGGGGTCTGGAGGACGGGTTTGGGCTCACGGCAGAGGACCAGGAAGGGGTCTCGGGCGGACGGCCTTGGGGCAAGGCAGAGTTCGAGGAGGGGGTCTCGGCAGACGGCCCGGGGGCAAGGCAGAGTTCAAGAAGGGGTGAAGGCCACAGCGGGCAAACTCAGGGGGCCGGGCATGAGGGCGAAGGCAGCGTCTGTTCGTACTGTCAGGGTGGGGAAAATAGGACCCAAGTGCAGTTAAAAAATACAAAAAGGTTTGTTAACAAAAAGCGACCTTTATTATAAAAAAGCCAAAGACATGAAAAAAATGAAACTAATTAACAAAAAGAAAACCGGGGAGCACGACAGACAGGAACAAACTTACAGACGGCAACAGGCAGGAGACATGGACAAGCATAGATGAGCATAGGCGAGGCAGGGAGCATGGACACAAAGAGACGACAGGTAGCATGGACATGAAACGACGACGAAAAGACATGGAGCACAGGGGAAGACAAAACTAAATACACAGAAGGGTAATCACAGGACAAGACACAGCTGGGCAGGGGAGGCAGAAACACAAGGGCAACAGGTGAACACAATCAGACACACCAGGGAAACTAAAGACAGGAGGGCAAACACAGGAAGTAGGATCAGACAAGACACAAGGAGGAAAACATTTCAAAATAAAAGGTGGAAAATGAAAACATAAATCCAAAACCATGACAGGAAGTTAATGTTGCTAGACTTTAGTTTACAGCTCTTGGCAGATAAACCAGATATCCTTCATATTTGGTCAACTCAATGTTAAGAAATACACCTTGGCAGACTGCAAAGCTTGTGCCCTTTTGTGGAACGCTTTGTTTGCCATTAACAGGAAATAGCGTTCACACACATTGGGCGTAGCAAAAATGGCTTGGTAGCTGTTTTTCTTGTACTCCAGCCAACCTGCCATGTGAGCCCTGAGTTTCACTCACATGTTTTAAATTGCGAAGCTTGTGCGCATTTGTGGAACGCTGTGTTTTCCACTAATAGGAAATACTTCTTTAAAGGCTTAAGAATGCTTGGCAAACGCATTAACAGTGTATAAATAAGTTTACTGATATGATCATTTTTGTTTGGTGCAAGATTGTTGTTTTGGGGGAGCCCCTACATAACTTTAAAGAAGCAGCCGTAACTGTACGTTTGACCGATGTGCACGATATTTGCACGGAACGTGCATAAAAAGTAGACTAAAAAAGGCTCTTGTCTGAAAACCAACAAGAACACATTTGGTGTGTTTTTGCCATTTTTAGGATTGGAAAACAATCTTAAGGTACCAGTGGTTGAAGACACTTCAGTGCTGGCTAAGGGAAGGAGGAGGTACATTTTGTATCATAACATTTTTCATGAAAAAGTTCCTTCTAGTCCAGTAACAGTACCTCAACAGTTATTAAACAGGTCAGCAAAAGCAGGGTTATGTGGACAGACTAATAAATGCTCAATGTCAATACCATATGTCAATAGGGTTGGATTGAAACAGTGAGTTGGTTTATGTACATTTTGACTAATTTAATCTAATAAAGAGGATCATCATCAACATGAATATTAAAGTCATCCACAATAATGACTTTATTTGTTTTGAGGACTAAACCTGTGAAAAGTTCAGAAATGTTAGAAAGGAATTATGAATAAGGACTTGGTGCGCGATAGACTGTAACAAACAAGATTGGCTGCAGTGTTTTCCAGGTTGGATGCATTAGTACTAGGCTTTCAAAGGAATTCAAATGTAATTATGGTTTTGTAACGATTAGTATGTTTGAGTTGAAGATGGCTGCGACTCCACCTCCTTGACCAGTGACAGGGGGGATGGCCTCATTAATGCTAACATATTCTTCATGTCTCAGCCAAGTTTCAGTGAGACAACAGAAATCAACCTGTTTTTCTGTTTGTAAATCATTGACGAGTGCGACCTTAGATGATAAATATCGGATGTTTAAAAGTCTGCATTTAATTGTCCTGTTTTGTTGCACTATTGTAGAGGTGTTATTCATTTTTATTAGGTTTTAATGTATTATTCCTCTTCTGTGTACTTGCCTCGAGCAGGATTGATAAAGTCTCTTGCAGCGAAGAAGTCGAGATGCGTTGAGTGACCGTTGTTGTGCCCAGGTCGCTGCAGAAACGTGCACTGAGATAGAGTGTCATTGGCGCGATGTAAACATTCAGTCTAGGCTAACCTTTACTCTGTTTCTTTACTTTACATAAACATGTTTCCCTCAAATATTGTAGCTGCTTGTTTTTAGAAAGGTAAGATCTGAAGTGGTTCTGGTTTATCCTTTTGTCTTTTTCGTAATATTAAGGGTCAACATGATTTTTTTTCTCATTATAAAACAGTTTATTCCAAATTTGAAGGCCTTGACAACTCCATTTAGACCATTTTCATTTTCTCTTATAGGTAATTGTGAAGAAAAATGAATATTCCTCTTATCAAATACAAATGGTTGTTATCATGACTTCTTGTATACTAATACTGGTAACCCTGTAGATGACACAGCGCCAATGCCAGGCACCTCAGAAGGGGACAATTCTTCTGTTTATATAAGTTTATTTTCTGCATTGCCTTTGGCAATGACCTTAAGACAGGAAGACAACACACAATCAATCAATACTTTCTTTGTTTCCCTAGTTCTTATCAATCAAAAATACTCCCATTACTTTTTGAAATAACTATTACTTGTCACAAAAGTTGTTAATCAACTTCTCATGGCCTCAAAAATGAACATTGAGAGATCTCGTCTAAAGACAAATAAACTCTGACTGCTTTCAGCAAGTCTGATGATTTTATATTTCTTAACTCAACCTTTACAATGCAAAACACATGTTTTAAATATTATTTATCCTTGTCAATTACTTTAGTAACAACAAATATATGTATTTATAATTTTTAAAGAATCAGAACAAACATCGCCATTCTCTAAATTGTCAATAACTAAAAATCACTTTGTTTGCTCACTGATATGGAAAATAAAAACTTTGTTAAGTGAAACTTAAAATAATAGGAAACTTAAAAATGACATTAGTAAAAGACTTGCAAAAAGATGGATGATTTAGGGTTGAGAGGAGCTAAAGAATAACAAATATAGCTGATGAGACTGAAAGAGAACAACACATATCCAACACAATCATTTTATTGTCACAACTCAATTACATAATATTAAAATAATTAAGTACGGTTTCCAGTAATACCAAACATATTGGTATTTTATTCGAAATTTTCAATGTAATTATTATCTTGTCCTTTTTGTAATTAAAACAGAAGAAAAAGGAATCAAAAAAAAACGAATACAGAATGCATCATGGATTAAGATTGCAGTTTGCTCAACATAACTATAGGGATAGTGGTGGTCTAATGGATAGTGAGGTGGGCTGAAGATCGGAAGGTTGTGAGTTCAAATCCCGCCAGAAACACCACCACTAGTGTTGCTTTGGATAAAAACGTCAGCTAAATTAAATGTAATGTAATAACTATCAAACACGACATGCAACAGAAGGAAGGTCCATGTTATTAAAAACTGAATCAAATGAAACAAGAAAACATTAATATATACAGAGCCATAGTCAGCTGGTATTCATTGCCATTCCATCGCATTCGGGAAAATTACCAAGTACATTTCAAAAGTTTGCAAAAAAAAATCTCCCTACCATAACGTATAATTAAACTTTGTCTTTGGGTATGTACAACTATGTTTGGCTTAATGATGGTTAAAATAGGATGATGGTTTTTTCGTTTTCACTTCATATTAAATTGGAAATTGCATGAAATTAAGAGCTGTTTGTTTGACTGTGTGTCTTTGGACCCCAGGAAGAATAGCCAATGATCATGCTAGTGCTATGGGATCCTATAAAGTATACAAATTGAATTAGGTGAAATAAACTGTTATTTTGTTATTGCATGTTTTTCAAGACAAAATAAACATAACTGCCAAGCCAAAAACCATTTCTATAAACGTCAATCTTAAGTATGTAATAAAGTATTAATACAAAACAGTGGTCAGTGATGTTTTTGGCCAATTAAAAAAAGTTTAATTAATTAATACATTTGGTGCTAATACTAAATGAAATAATTTAGCGACAGCTGGTCAAATTTTCTGGAAGTGTAAAAAATCTTGTTAATGCCAAAAAGTAAGATATCATTTTTTAATGATAACATGTAATGCTATCTTTAGCATGACAATTAGCAAAAATGTTAGCATGTTAGCGTCATAACAATACAATATGTGCACACTAAATGTAATGTACTAATTGTCATACTGCTCAACTGTACATATAAATTGTTATTGTCACTTTGGCCTTCAATCAGCATGTCAATGTAATCTGGAGTGGTCAGAGGGTTAGGCCTCAGGGCGATCTCTTGCAGACGAGTTAAAGAGTGAGTTGACTGATCCACGAGGGACACTATCATCTCTTGGAGGTAATAGTTCTCCTGCTCTCGACTCTCAATCAACTCCTGAACAGTCATCTTTTCTTTTGCAGCTTTATTGTTCTTGACTTTAAGCTCTTCCAGTGTATGCTTCTCTTTTTATACTTTTACATAGTCCCCTGTTGGATGTTTGGTTGGTATTGTATTAGTTTTCATCTTCATGCTCTTTCATCTTTTCTTTCGGTGGATTTGATGATCCAGCAACTTGCGGTTGCAAACCTTCGAAGGCCGGTTCAATATGCCTTCAGTCTTTTAGAACCTCTTGGGTCTTGGTTGTCAGTTTAGTCAAAGCAGTGAAGAACTTCTCCATATTTTTGATGCCCATGTTCCAAAACATTTCGTCAAATTTAACATCATCCTCATCAGAATTCTCATCACTGACCCGTTCCCTGCTGCTTCTGTTATCTGCAAACAATGCTGAGTTGTTGAATTTGAAGTGAACTGGAAGCCCTAGGTGTTTTGGACATGGAACCCCAGACTTCTTTATTGCCTCAAGAACAGGTGGCTGCTTGCCATCTGCAAAGGTGACCAGCATCTGAATATTCTCTGCCACATCTTTGCCAAAGATGGAGAGCACAGACTCAAACACATATCGTTGTGTGGCTGTTAGTCGGGCAAGAGAGGCCTGGGTGACAAAACACACAGCATCAATCTCACCGACTCCATTCGCAGAAGTTAAAAGCCCCCTGATTTTCTCTGTGATGTCCTCGTCTCTTTTTATGCCTCTTGTATCTCCAAAGCCTGGGGTGTCCACAACGGTCAGAGAGAAAGGGATTTTAAAGCCCTCTTGGTGGTTGATTTTGTACACAGTGACTTCAGGGGTCTGGCTTTCAGTTTGTGATCTCGACTGATCTTCAACAACTAATTTGAATCTGAAATCGTCCTTCCACTCAACACCAACTATGTAGTTGATGAGTCCATTGATCAGAGTGGACTTTCCAGATCCGGTTGCTCCGAGAAGCATTATTTTGCAATTTTGCTTCATGCTTTCTCTGCCAAAGTTATACATCTGGCATCCTTTGACGTGCATGTCTTCTTCTGTCAGAGGCAGTTTGTAAACTGAGAGAGATTTCGATTTGATACTTTTGCTTTTACTTTTGAGGGATTCTGCAAGACGTGCAAATTCACGTTTAGTTGTGCCGACATTAACAGTGATGCTTTCTTTGCTTGTTCCAGCTGCACCACAATCACACCTGACCCTGACAGCGTATTCTGTCTCTGGCTGAATTTCTGAAATGCTCGCCTTCTCAGCTCCCGCCATCATTTGCTCCCAGTGGAGATCTTCCTCTTTCACCTGTTGGTCTTGTTTGGCGTACTCCACGATGTAGCTCAAAACGTGGACATCTTGTCCGAGCTCAGCAGGTTTCTCCCAGCTGACTAATATCTCACGTGAGGTAGATTCAACGTTGGGTTTTCCAGGAGGGCTGCAGGGTAAGGTTTTAATGGGTCCACTGACTTCATTGGCTGGCCCGGCACCTACTGGTGTCTCTGCCCTGCATCTGAACATGTACTCTGTGTTAGGACTCAGGTCGCTCACTGTGACTTCTTCAGCTTTGGATGCTGTCTTTTGTTTCCAGCCGTCCTCTCCACTGACACAGTACTCAACAGAGTAGGAGGTGATGTCCTCTGCTCCACATTTGGGTGGAGAAATCTTCAGTGTCACACTGTTGTGGTTTATATCACTTCCTGTTACTATTGCAGGCTTTGAAGGCGGCTCAAAGTTCTCATTGACAGAAATGCCGTCTGTATAAAGGTAGATGCTGGCACCTTTCTGTGTCTCATTTGTTAAACCCACTGTCAGAAATGTGATGTTCTTGTTATCCTTGTTGGCCTCTGCAAAATCACTGAATAGCTTTGTTTTGTTTCTCAATGTTTCTGCTACTTTGTTTGTGAGGTACCACTGTCCCTTCTCTACATCTGGAGTGTGTGGATCTTGAGCATCGTCTGTTTTGGGTGTTTGTTGAAGGTAGTTTGATAAAGTTGAGAGGTATGGTTCATCACTTCCCAGCGAGGTGAAGACAAAACACACAGCCTGCTTTGCATTTAGAATTTCTTCATGAAGATCATTTTCGCGTGCAACGATCTTGGTGTTTTTCATCATGTTGGTGTATGACTTTAACGTGGAGATTTCTCTCTCCTTGCAGTCCATCCACTCGTTCAGGTCCTTGCTGTTGAAAGGAGAAGAACATGTCTTCCTCCGGATCTCTGCGAGCACAGCTTCTTCTTCTCCTCCTCCTTGGATTGATGGCAGTTTATTTGCCAGGTTTTGTTGGAATTCTTGTTTGAACTCAAAGCACTTCTGTTTGAAGGTTTCAAGTTTTTTTCCAATCTGCTGGAACTGCTGTGCAGTTTGGGTTCTCAGTGCATCGTTGCACCTCATTTCCAGGTCACTGAAGCCCTCCAGGACACTCTGACATTTTTTATCTAATCCTTTACTTATCTGGCGGACAAGTTTAGAGCCAGTAGAATCTAAACATGTCAGTGGCAACAGCCAGACCTTCACTGGTACTGCGTTTTCCCCACCCTCCAGCAGCTTTGGCAGACTTTGGTACACTTTTACTGCATCCTGAAAGGACAGAGGATTTGTTTCAAGAGCAAAGTCTCGATGGAATTTGCAGGAACATTTATCAACATTTGCTCTCTCCTTGTCTTCCATTTTCAGCAAGCCTTTGCCCTCTTTTGCTAGGGAGGGGATTTTGTTGATCATCACCTTCAAGTTGCTCTCAATATCTTCATAGTTCTCGTTGACAGACACATCACGGTCAAAGACAAAGAAGGCTTGAGCGCCATAAAGGATACGTGTGACTACATGTGTTGCTATTGCTTTCTTAAAGTCATATGGATGCTTAACATTGCCTCTCCCAAGATGATCCATGGACAGTTCGTGGACGTTTGTGGTAGCTTGGTACGTCAGTGTTACTCTAGCATGATTTTTGGAAGTCTTACTATCGTTCAGGTATTTGGCTGATCCTTCAACCTCTACCAGTCCACTCAAGAAACTTGCTTTCAGCGAGGCTTCAACATTTAGTGCTGAAGATTTATCCTCAATTGATTCAGATGCCACCATCTCTCTTTCTGGTACTTCTCTTGTATATTTTTCCAGGTCATCACAGTCCCACAGTTTCACATCTGTAAAAAAGAAAGGAAGAAATCCAACTACATTTTATTGCATGATAGTAAGGCTTCATTTTTTTTAACACAAAATAAAGTTTATATTAAGTTTCATTTTAAAAGGTTAGTAATTCAAAATGATAGTTATTCACATGTCATGAGGTGTCTATCTGATAGTGCTGTAGCAAAATTGTGCTTGATTCATTTCATAGGCATTTAATTCAATGCCATGTCTTTATTTTGAGTCCCTACTAAATGTATAAATGTGTTGATACTGTTGCAGGCTTACTCTAATTTTCATTTGACTCTATTTCCTCTCTAAAAATCAGACAATAACACAAAGGCGAGGCTCTCTGTATTGCCAGAGCAGCGTTTAACTCATATTTTCTCAAAAAAATAGGAACACCTAGGATTGTTTTTAGAACTCGAGAGTCACAGCTTTATTGAGCCATATATACCTATCTAGTCTAGTTGCCAACATAGTGAACCCAGAAATGTTGAGTACACCAAAGTTTTATGTTAGAAATGTATAAAACAGGTCCCCAGCACATTAACTGCACAATTGGCATACATTCTGTTCATTAAAATGAATGGCATTATAGCCTATGTTTATTTATTTTATTTATTTAATCGTTTATTTGGTAGGGACATTGCACATTAATGAACACTTGAAACAATAAATGTACCAAGCATAAATATGCCGGATTTAGCTTTGAGCTACTTTCCATCCGCAGTCCCTCTTATAAAACATTAAGAAAATGACATTTACAGACATAGCAAAAACAAAAACATGAAATGCAAAAAGTGCAAAAGAGCAAGAGCAGCATACACAAGTATTTATGATATGGCAATACAATATAGCAGCATCGATACACAAAGTGTCAGAGAAGATACAAGAGCTACCTAAAGTGATTTGGAGAATTTTGGAGTGGTTTAGGAGGTTATGAGGATGATGAATCCATTTCTGACTTTTTCAGAATAAAAAAGGGCCGACAATTTTACCAGAAAGTGGCCAAATTTGCACTCTCTTTGGACTGATTTTGACTACCATGAATAGTGTTGCGACTATATATAGAAAACACAAGATAAATATTATTATCCCTACAAATTCTTTTCAAATAAATAGGCAATCTTTCCAATCCAAATGATCAAGAATCCCCTAAATCTTTCAAACCAACCCACAATTAATGGTAAAAACTGAAAATGACAGTTTCTATGTACATTTCTGAAATTTCCGGGTTCATAATAGGAACCTATGAGTTGGCAACTAGACTAAGCCCTAATCTTCTTATTTCTAAATAAACTACTTTACTTTATCAGGAATGTAACTAGTCTCTGTACTTGACTTGTGAGATCTTAGTCCTGCATTCAAAACCATTTGCCGCGTTCATACCAAGTACTTTCCTGTACTTAGTGCCGGCACTAAGAGCCCCGGCGCTTTTAACCCCACGGGAATATTTCTCACTCAACCAGACTACACCCTCAGGATACAAATACATGGAAAAACCTTGCCACCATGGCCGTGGCGATGGAATTGCCATTTTTACTCGTAATCACATAAAAACTAATGCAATGCATTTGAACACCTTGCTTTTAATCGGTCTGGTCCAAAACCCCTGGTTACAGCGGTTATTTATGACCCTCCAAACCATCACTGCTTTTCCTCTCACCTGTCTGAATTCCTCGCTCAACTCTGTTCCATCTCTTCACATGTTCTGGTACTCGGTGACCTCAATATTCATGTTGACACACCTGACTCCAAAGCCTCTACAGAATTTAAGGACATTGTCAACTACTTGAATATCACACAGCATGCAGACTTTCCCACCCATAAAAAAGGAAACACACTGGACCTGGTCTGCATCTCTGCCATCTCCATCCACAATCTAAACACATCTGACCTCACAATCTCCGACCATCTGGCAATTTTCCATGGCCATCCTCACCCCAACCCCTCTCATCAAGCAGACGCGCAGCATAACTTTCCAGAATTTCAAATTCATAAACCCCTCCTCCTTCTCCTCCCTACTGGCTGCCACCGTCCCTGACTCCACCCTCACCCAAAATGCTTCTCCTGATGACCTGGTCTACACCTACAACAATGCTCTTTCCTCCAGTCTCAATTAACTTTCTCCTATAAAAAACAATCAGTTTCCTTCACTCACTCCGCCCCCTGGAACACTGATCATCTCCGGCGCCTCAATACGGCAGCAATAACCCTAAGACACTTTTTTCAACCAAAAGAAAACTCCTCAAACCCATGGACACCATCTCTGACTCCTTTACCCCACTTAACATGTGACTAATTTCTCTAATTTCTCCAGGACAAAATGACTTCCAACTCCTCCACTCATCCTTATCAGGAACTGGCTTCTACTTGCTACTTTAACAATGTTACAGACAATTATACATACTTAGTATCTAATTTTGGACACATTAACCTGTTACGCACGGCCCGCCCGGTACCGGGCAGAAAAACACGTTATTTGCAGGAAACAACGTCTAAGGAATGTTAATATTTAATAAACTATGAATGTTTTATATCCATGTAACGGGAAGAAACTCAGCTAACTGATCTTTTTAATTTTTTTTTCCAAAAAAAACCCACAATGCTAGCACTGAATTAGCCACGAGCGGAAAAAAATTAACCTAAAACGGCACTTAAACTCACTCATAACTCCCTTATTACTTATCCTAGATGCAAAGCCAACCACTCGGTTTTGGTGTCCTGGAGACACTGAATCTAATGGTGCCCTCCTCAACACTCAGTGATAAACATTCGCGACGCTATAAACGAAAGCGTACATCATAACATGTGGAGCTAAGTAGCTAGAAACGCTAACATAGCTTACCTTGGTCAAAACTGGTCTTCAATGGCATTAAAACGATAAAAAAACGATACTGCAGTTAATCCATAGGTTCATCCTATGTATCTGTGCCTTCTTTGAAATTATTTCTGATAATCCATAAGCAATAAAACTGCTTATTAATTTCCAAACTCCAGAAGGACAAAATCTGCAAAACTAGTTTCATTTCTAGACGCGTTGCCCTCACCTTTTCTCTTTACAATGAGTGTGTGTGTGGGCCTCCCCCTTCGATTCTATTGGCTCTAACGGTCAGAAAGGTGTGTCAACGATCCCAATCGAGTAAGGGGGGCCAGAGATAGGTCAAATACACCCAAATGACCCCAGAAGTGGAGGTTTTTGGCAAAATCTCTCTAAAAAGGTCAAATTTCACTTGTTTTGCATCAATCATGATACAGGGTACTTATTATATGTTGTACTTTGGATTCCTAAAGCTTTTAGTCTACTAACCCATCATCCAAGGGTAGTTTTCACTATCTGTAAAAAATAATTTTTGGACGGACACTATAATTTACAGTTTTTTACTATGTAAAATCTGAATTTTCTTTAAAATAAAAAACATTTATATTGATTCTGACACTTCTACATCCAACTCACAGATGTAACCTTGCTTTGATAAAAGAAATTATTCATATAACCCTTTTAGAAGTTAAGTTGTAGTCATTTGTTTTGGGCATGTCATTTTCGAGCCTGAAACATGAAAAACAGGCTCGGTGCTTAACAGGTTAACTTTAATAGGTTTCTGTTATCTTTTTCCTCAAGCTAACAATTCCAACATGGCAAATCCCTCTATTCAACATATAATGGTGGAGATAGCCTGGCTGTGTATTTATGGATGCATGCAAGTCCTTATTTGAGGGCACTCCAGGTTAAAGGACACTGTGCGGCGAGACGCTCTCCTTATCATCACACAGGTCCCCCCTCCTTCCAATCACCCTTTTACATAATTCACTCAAATCACCACTTCTGACCTAGCTTCCCTAGTCACTGGCATGAACACATCAACCATCATACTGGACCCAATGCCCTCCGCCCTAGTCAAGGCCTGTCTCCCCCAACTTGCTGCCCTCATAACCACAGTCATTAACCTGTACTCTGTCCACTGGCCTTGTAGTACCTGATTTGAAACCCGCTGCTGTCACCCCTGTACTGAAAAAACCCGGACTCAACCCTGACACCCTCAATAACTGCCGGCCAATCTCCAAGCTTTCATTCCTCTCAAAGATCTTGGAGCGAACTGTAGCCCTGCCAACTTAAATCTCCCCTAGACTGCAATAACCTTCATGAACTATTTCAATCCAGTTTCCGCACTTGTCATAGCACCAAATCTGTTGAAAACGGAACCAGAGTCAGAGTCATTGACAAGGTCACCAATGACATTCTCCTCTCTGCTGGTTCCCTTTTCAACCCTAATCCTCCTTGACCTAACCGCCGCCTTTGACACCATCAATCACTCCATGAATTTCTATCAACAACTGCAAATCCCCCACTGCTTCAGTCACCCACAGCATCCCCCAGGGTTATGTACCTGGTCCCCCGCTCTACATCCTCCAACTTGGACAAATCCTCCGTCAACACCAACTCCGGTTCCAGTGTTATGCTGATGACAACCAGCTCTACCTCTCCACCAAAACTATTTCTGCAGCCACCCACTGCCAACTCACCAACTGCCTCACTGATATTAAAACATGGATGCAAAAAAACATTTTCTGAAAGTGAACTGTGACAAATCTGAAATAATCATCATCGGCCCAAACTCACTAACCGGCTTCACCCAGGATTTCTCTCTCTATCAACAGCACTATCGTCAACCCCTCTACTCATGTCCGTAACCTTGGAATCATCCTAGACCCCACCCTCACTTTCCTCCCTCATGTAAACCAGGTAAAAAAAATCCCTCTACACCTCAAGAACATTGCCCGTATCCAATCTTCCCTTTTCCTCCACTGAAAATCTCTTCCATGCTTTCATTACATCCCGACTGGATTACGCAAACAGCATCCTTCATGGTTCACCTGCATACATCCTCAATAAACTACAATATGTCCAAAACTCCGCTGCCCGCATGCCCCCCTCCACTCGTCGCTCCGACCAAATCAGCCCTATCCTCCACGACCTCCAATGGCTACCCATCAAATACCGCTTCAATCTCTAATCATCACCACTTTAAGGTCTCCAAAAGTCTATCAAACTTCACCCAATATTTGAACTATAACAAAAGAAAACATTTGATAATAGACTTGCTGCATGCCAATGTCCACCCCTGGGTGGATCAGACCACAACCTGATAAGGCTTGTACCCATGTAAAAACCTAGTATTTTGTATTTTTAAACAAGGACCATGCATACAATATATTAATCTGAAAAGGAGAAGATATGATTTATGACAGATATTTAGATTACGTTTTGTACAATTGTTGTTGTTGAAATGCATTTAATAACTATACATATGGATTCTTACCAGGGACCAGGACATCCTTGCGGCAGTCGTACAGCATCCCTAGGCTGAATCGCCGGCCGTGTGCCGCCACTTCTATTTTTTTGTTGACTGCAGAATCCATCTCTTAGTCTAGTCTAGAGAAAACAGAACATATGTTTAGTAAACTTACCTCAGTTTTTTTTTATGTTTGCTCCTCTGAAGGCGAAAATTAAATACAATATCTTGTTTTTGGTTGAAACCTTAGAATGCAAATTTAATTAGTTTAATGTTTTCCATTTTAAAGACTGTTTGATAGCCTTTTGTTTAAAAATATCCTGAAACAAACCAATTACTACATGCAACACATTACACATTTGTTATCAATTGTATTTACATCAGAGTGGTTTTAATGGATCTGAATAGATTGGTCTGGTTAACTGGCAATGTATGCATCCCATCATTTTTTTAAATAAAGCACTTATATTGTAAAAAGTTTAAATTAATGTTAAAAAATTATAGTTTTTCATCAGAACAAGCTGTTTGCAAAGCATTGATATATTATCAACTTACAGTTGTTTTGGCAAAAAGTGAGCAAAAGGCGCGTTCACACCAAGTACTTTGCTGTATTTAGTGCCGGCACTTAGTGCCCCGGCACTTATTACCCCAGGGCACTTAGTACCCCAGGGCACTTAGTACCCCAGGGCACTTAGTACAGATCGCGTTCACACCGGAATAAATTCCCTGCAAATGAGCCGCTGACGTCACTTCGTCTTCTTCTGCTTTGGGTTTACTGGCAGGCCGCAAACAACTTCATGGCGTATACTAGGGATGCTCCGATCGCCAATTTTGGGGCCGATCGCCGATCGCCGGAATCAGTATCTGCCGATACCGATCGCCGATCCGATCGAGTGGGCGGGGCCTAAATGGAAGATTTAAACATCACTTTAAATCTTCCATTTAAAGTGATGTTTAAAACTCAGTTAATGGGGCTCATTCACTGGAGCTTCCACAAACTACAATCAACTTAATTATTACATTCAAATTATGTATATTATTCAAGTTTACATTCACTTTGGATAATACCACGGGAGAAATTAGCAAGCGCTCTCTTTTCCTCTCTCTCCCTCTCTCTCTCCCCCTCTCTCTCCCCCTCTCTCTCTCTCCCTCTCTCTCTCCCTCTCCCTCTCCTGACAGCCCGTCAGTATCGTCTCATGCAGCTCGCTGATCCAGTAATGTGTGAGGCCGACAGTGAAGAATAAACATATTTATAACTAGTTTAGCTTGTTCCAGAGGTAGATAAAATAGCTAAGTGTGTTAGGTCTAACTCTTAATGTGTGTTTCGCTCCGCTCACCGGTCCGTCACAGCGGGTGGAGCAGCAGGATTTCTGCTTCACACACACGTTGCATACCGCTGTTTTACTGTCTTTTTCGGACACCTTAAAATAATGCCAGACCGGTGAAGCCATTTTGGCGAGCTTGTTTTGCCGCGTACAGAGAAAAGTGTCATGTATTTTACGTCATGCGATCGGCCCTCGCGATCGGCATGTTTAGAGAGCACCGATCGATCGGTAGAGAGTGAGTATCGGCAGATCTCGATCGGTGACCGATCGATCGGAGCATCCCTAGCGTATACTGCCACCCGGATTCCCCGGCCTGAAGTCCCCGGAGTTGGGGACTGGCTTCAGTAGAAGCTGCTGGGACTCCGAAGGGACTCTGAAGCCTTCCGAGTAAATCGCCAGAACGCCGACACCTCCTCATCTCCACCGCTCCGATGTTTTATTTTGTGTTGCCATAAGTTAGTCTCTCTGCGTTTGTGCGCTGGGCGAATGTTAATGCTAATAATGCTAATGCGAGGATAATAAAATGTACCATCTCTCAGCAGGCACTAAAAATGGGGGTAAAAGTTCCCGGGAGTGCTCTTTTTGGTGTGAACGCGACATAAGGGGTACTAACGGAACTAAACGCGAAAAGTACGGTGAAAAGTACTCCGGTGTGAACGCGGCTAAAGTGTTTATTAATCCAGGAGACACAGAGCAATGAGTTTTAAAACCAAAACACTGCGAGAGTTAGTGATACATCTCTTTTTGTTTGTCCATGTGAGCGAGCTCTCTCACATTACATAGACAGCTAATCAATTTTGTTTAAACAAATATTGAAAGTAAGTAAAGCTTTAAAGGTCCCCTATTATGCAAAGTGCACTTTTTGATGTGTTTTATACATAAATGTGTCCCCGGTGTGTAAGGAGACTCACAAAGTGTCAGAAAATAAAACCCTCTCTCTTTTCCCCTTACCCAAATCCCTACAAACAGGGGTACAACGGAGCTGATCCAGATTTGCTGCGTCATGACGACATTACTCAAATGTGGGCTGCATTTACATTGAACTCCTGGCAACATTCCACTCACGGCCCTATCTTCCCCTATATACAGTCGTCTAGCTGAATCCCCTCCTGCAGCTGTGTGTCTGTGTATTCAGCAGGATGTCTACGAGAGTGACTTAAGAGTAAAGTTGTTATATATATAAAATACATACAATGGCACTGTTAGCGGTAAACACTGAATAAAGAACATGTCAAGCTATGTACTGTATCAGAAGCAATGCGCAACGTGTTTTGGAAGTATCAGAAACAATGCGCGACGTGTTTTGGAAGGTCTGTGTTTACATTAGCAAGCATCGCTAACACTCAGAGCTAACCTTTACTGGAGAGAATATGTGTAATGTAATTTCCTTGTGTTAAACCTGCAAGAGAGAAAGCGTTTGAGCTCCATACTGTTTCAGAAATAATGCTTGATGTGGTTTGGAACATAATATGGCATTTAATCGCGGCAGCGTTTAGCTGAGTTTCTGCTGGTAGACAGCCTTCTCTTCACAGAGCTCACCGCTTGCATGAGGATGCTCCAAAGGGGCGTGGCCAGCAGCAGCTCATTTACATTTAAAGGGCCAGACCTAGAATCTGGCCTTTAGTAACAGGGCTGAAATAGAGGGGTATGAGGCTACAATCGGCGTCTGTTTGGTAGTTTGAAGAAAACACTTCAGAGACATGTTTTATATAGATTTGACCCTATAATATATTGTTCAAATATAGCATAATAGGTGACCTTTAAGTAAGTAATACATTTCTGAGGATCCAAGATGGTGGCGTAGAGAAGCAGGCTAACCACACAGAAAGCCTCGAGTTTTAAATACAGTTATATCATTCCCCTATATGACCCAGGGAATTTGTGTTCACAACAGAGTTTATTTACTTCAGTTTCCGGAACTCTGTCTCAGTTTAGGTAGCTTGATTTCACAAACTAGGGTAGTGCAGTGAAACTACACGGTTATAGAAGGAAGTATAGGCCAGTTTCCCCTTTCAAGGGGTAGGTGGGTTTTTGTGAGGCCCAGACAGGGCAATTATTTTATTTCTCCATGAAGCGTGTTATTTCTTGTCTTTTTGCACATTTTTACAAACAAGCTATTATGTCAACTCAGGAAGTGTATTTTTTCAGCTACTACACCCATAGATACACCTATTTTATATCAATCACATGTGTGCAGCCATAACATATACATTCCTAAGCTGGAACATTAATGGAATCAACAAGCCAACCAAGCGCCGTAAAGTTCTCTCCTTCCTTAGAAGGCACACAATTGATGTGGCTTTTTTACAAGAGTCTTACTTAACAGATACAGAGCACTGTAAACTGGGGAAACAATGGCAGGGTCAAATATTTTTTGCCTCATTTACCTCGCCTGCAAGAGGGGTGGTTATCTTGATAAGGAAAGGGATCTCCTTCCAAGTAGAACAAGTTGAAAAGGATAAAGGGGGTAGATACATCCTAATAACAGTATATGTTGGAGCCCAATTGATCACTATGCTTAACATCTATGGACCAAACCAAGATGACCCTGACTTTTAAGCTAAACTTTTTCTTAAAATAACGCGTGATCCATCTGAGTTTATAATAGGAGGGGATTTTAATCTGGTGCTCGACCCCACAAACGACCGATCCTCCGGCACCTCTAAAAAATTAACATCAGCAGCCAAGACGCTACAGATCTAAATGTGCTTGATGTGTGGCGGGAGGGACACAAATCTCAACGTGAATATAGCTTCTACTCACATATGCACAAAAGTTACTCTAGGATAGACACTTTTTTTCTTCACACAGCAAAAACACACCTTGTGTCTTCCTGTGAATATTTAGCCAAGACACTCTCAGACCATGCTCCCCTTATGCTTCAAATAATATTAAAGGACCCCCACACAAACCCTAAACACTGGAGGTTTCTTAACCACCTTCTTAACCAGCAAAAACGGACATCAAAACAGGTGACGCTAGATAGCTAAAAATGCTAAAATGTTTACCATGGCTCTGTAGTCTCTCCAAAGTGGTCTTCAATGGCATTAAAACGATAAAAACGCTGCTGAAGTTAATCCATAGGTTAATCTAATGTGTCTGTGTCCCTTTGAAATGATTTCTGATAATCCATAAACATTAACCTGTTAAGCACCAAGCCTGTTTTTCATGTTTCAGGCTCGAAAATGACATGCCCAAAACAAATGACTACAACTTAACTTCTAAAAGGGTTATATGAATAATTTATTTTATCAAAGCAAGGTTACATCTGGGAGTTGGATGTAGAAGTGTCAGAATCAATATAGGTGTTTTTTATTTTAAAGAAAATTCAGATTTTACATAGTAAAAAACTGTAAATTATAGTGTCCGTCCAAAAATTCGTTTTTTACAGATAGTGAAAACTACCCTTGGATGATGGGTTAGTAGACTAAAAGCTTTAGGAATCCAAAGTACAACATATAATAAGTACCCTGTATCAAGATTGATGCAAAACAAGTGACATTTTACCTTTTTAGAGAGGTTAAGCAAAACCACCCCACCTCTGAGGTGATTTGGGTGAAAATGTTTTTTTTTCCATATCTCTGGCCCCCCTTGGTCGATTTTGATGGTTGACACCTCTTTCTGACCGTTAGAGCCAATAGAATCGAAGGGAGAGGCCCCCACACACACACGTTGTGAAGAGAAAAGGTGGGGGCTGCGCGCATGTAAATTTGCAGCAGAGTGGACCTATCTCTAGCTCTGGCATTTGGAAACGAAAAAGCAGTTTTATTGCTTATGGATTATCAGAAATCATTTCAAAGAGGACACAGACACAT